TTAAGTATGATGACCTCTTTCGAAGTAAAGGGAATTGTTAATATAAAAATGTATAATTCTTTAAAAAAACCAACATGACTTTTACATGACAAATATATTTTTTATAAACGACGAATTTTTATATATTTTAATTGTTTTTATCATAGATCAAAAGGGGTTTAAAACTTTATTTTCAAACTCGGCTTTTAAAGCTGTCCTTCTACACTTGAATAAATCTCAAAATATGCGGTGAACCCGTTTCAAATATTTATACAAGTCATAGACAAAACAAATCAAACCAGGTTTTTACGACTTTAGCACTTATGTATAATCATTACTTGTTTCGCTGACCATCTGGTGTTTATCGATAAATAAGTCGTATGTCGTAATGAAGAAGTAAAACAAGCGTCCTAGGTAAGAACTACTTAAAGATAAACTATAAATATGTAGTAATATAAATATGAGTAAAAGTAAGCGATCCTTTTTATAAAATCATAATTAATACTTATCAATCAATACAAACACATGCATACAATTTTGTAATTTTTTTAGGGAGTATATTTTGTATTAAAAAAAAAAAATTCATTGATATTATAGATATCAATATTTATGTGTATGTAATTTTCTTATATGAAAAATTTATACCAATTATTTTGATATAATATGTAATTGTAACCCTAGAATGGTATCTATATCTCCATCTCGTCTCAGAAATATTGTATAATTGTAGGTGAAGTAACGGGTAAAAGTAGTCAATGATATTAACGTTATTTTACGCCGTAATTTCAATTGCGACAAGTTATATCAATCTACAACGATTGTGTCGTAAATTCAGCTGGACACTGCTGCTTCTAATTTCAAGGCAAGCTTCGTTAGATGTGTGAATGAACAATATGTGTGCCAAAATATAGTCAAAGAGACAGGAAATATGTCACATTAGTTTTTGTGTAGTATATTAAAAGTTGTTTTATTTTGCGATTCTTCCGTTTGTCTGACTTGAGTAATTGTCGTATTAACCATGAATCGAGACTTGGCACTTGTGACGCTGTGTTAAAATAACAATTAAATGAGGGAATATTGTTGGCCTATTGTACAAAACATATATAAGCACAAAAATTACTACTGGGGACTTTATTTTTAAAGTCATTTGTGTCACAATATCATATTTCATACACGTTTTAATCTCTTAGTAGAATTATAATTGAGATGGCTATTACAATGACAAAACTTATCAAAAAAAATATTCTGTGATAGTATAATAAGACCATTTTGTTGGTAAAACATTTACGTACCCGAAGTATGTACCACTAGGTATTTTATACAATAATAATATCGCCATGGAATACTAATTTAATATTTTGATATCATTAGAAACTCTAACGCTGTAAAGATTTACAAATGGCAGCGGCTTGTTTGATCAAAGTTTAAAATTCATAATCATAGATGGGTGAAGCTTAACATTAAATACCAATATGCCCCCGCAGCAATTGTGGGTAATGCACGAGCTCAAAAATAACTGTAAACCATAATCATATCATGCCAAACTGCGCTTTATTACAAAACAATAAGTATAAGAATACTGTTTAAGGAAATATTTCTATAATAGTTCGTAGGGCTATTTTATAGAAATTTTATCATCAATCAATGACAGTATTTATAGGTAATACACCTGCATCCATTTGACATCGACATCATAATTGGCAATCAATAGCGGTCAATAGTTCATTTTTGCACAGCTAAACTAGGTTTAGGAACTCGAAAATGATTAGGAGTTTAATTAATAATCGAAATTAGCTTCTGAAAACTTAAATATCCTTAAAATGTTTTTGTGATTTAAGGCAACTATCCGAAAATTTGTAGTGAACATTTGACAGCGTGAATAATAATGTAATTATAGTATGTACTTATACAAATCAGGTAAAATTTTGTACGTTATAATTTAACAGACAGTAAATCTTTCAATGGATTTAAAGTTGTTTTCTTTCCGAAACGTTTCATTTATCCATAATAATAACTTTGCTGGGGATTCATTCTGAGAAATCAAAACAATATGAGTAAGTGCATCGTATGTTTTCATGAAGTTGAGAATAGCTAAAAAAGCACTTAAAAGCTCTAAAGCATAACATAGTTATCACAATCACATACATAAATTAAGATAAAATGTGTTGTTGTTCGTTTACGAAACAATGTATTTATAGTTTTTGTTTTAGAAAACAGAAAACTTTATTCACCGGTACATATCGATATGAATTTTAATATTATAATACTTAAAAAATACCTTCATTAATAAACTCCCTAAATGGTTAAATATTTATAAGAGTACTTTATGAATCTACACATTTAGTAACATATACTTTTGTCTCTTATCTTGAGTACCTCTATAGTGATATAACATCTATTAAGCACTTATGTAGAATGTCTTTGCTGAATTTAAGTAGAAGTTGTGGTGACTTTGTGTAGTGAATAAAATAGTCAATTAGATACCACACAGATTACAATTCTATTCCTAGAATTATTACTGAAAGGGTAACTTATTATTAATGAACGAATTACCAACGAATGAAATACACTTAAAGAAAGATTATAGTATTTACGAGTAAGTTAATTGTATTTTGCGTCTTGTTAAATTAGGAAATCAAAATAGTTATTCAATTAATAATATAGTTACTTACTGGTATTTTACTAAAGATAACTGTATATTTAATACATTCTGTATTAATATCAAGAGTTGGACAAAGCGTCAATGGGGCCAGGCATAAGCCAATTAAATAAAGAGAGATATTTAATGATTTCACACACAACTACTAGTACCTTACTACCTACCTAATACTGAAGTTATTAATATTAATCATTACTATATATAAATGAAGATATAATAGACTTTATGCATTAATATTTATAAGAATCAACATTATACATATATAACTTATGCCTTATCCTTTTACCTTACAATCGATCGATTTAAGTCTTGATTCTTTATGTGGCTATAAAGTGAAATAAGTCCTATTTAGAAAAAAAATGTTGCAGATCTTGACAATTTGGAATAACGTAACGTAAAACAAACAATTTCAGGAAAATTTGGTTCCAAAGTCTATATTAAAGTAATTTCTTTACAAGGACTTAGTATTTGTTATAAATTAAATGTAGAATACATTTTATTTTAGATTCAACAGACGTCCGTTAAGCGAATAAACATAAGGAAACGCTCAGTTCATTTTACGGAATTCCGACTGAAAATAAATCTCTGGGTTATAAATTTTTAGGAAGTATTTCTTCTAAAGTTTTTACTATTTGATGTAGACAGATATACGATTCAAAATCTAAGCCACTCCCTATCAGCTATAACATTCTAATTCAAATTGAGTTATGATCAACTAGGAAGCACTAAGAACGCCTAGCCTACATTCTGTTGCGACCAGTGTGCTAATTGGGAACGAGCAGTAGATGATGACCGTGACGACCTTTTTGCTTGAATTTTAGTTACTAGCCATTTAATGTTGTTTTTCATTTAAAAAACTAACTTGAAATCTATTTTATATTATTGGAACTTGCATCAATATCTGCAGATGTATTAAATTATGCTCATGCTCGAAAGTAGTAAACTTTCTAGTTTACAAATTAACTCAGCATGATTATTGAAACAATCAGCATCCATATAAATTGTTCAAATTTAAATAAACTTTTGTCACTTTATGGAAACTTAATAAAACATTTTTGTGGTGGACAAACACTTATTTTATAAAGTTATTAATAGCTTTTGAGAGAAATAGACCTGGACAAAAATTCTGCAAGTGTGATACTTTCTCATGATCCTAAAATTTGAACATATATGAAAAAAAAATAAAGTTTCTTTTATTGTTAAAAGACGTCGGGTATGATACAAATTATATACATAACTTTTATTCAAATATATTCATATTTTAATTTATACGTAAAGTTAATATTCTATATTATAATTTTTACGTAAAGTTAATTATTTTTACGTAAAGTTAATACTCTCACCCAAGAGTTGTTTTGAAACAGCACACATTCAATTTCTATTTGTCTTCAGATTCTGAACAAAACATTCATCCGATATTTTGTATTTGCCAAGGAATATAAAATGAAACTTATTTTTTTGATTTTATCTATGAATAAAAAATTTGTTATATCTGTTTTATAGCTATATCTTCATTTATAGATTTATTCCTATATCATATGTACATACTGTAAATAACGATAACTTTTTCCCTTTCCTAAGATCCGTTCTTTAGATTTATAAAGAAAATAATATTAATATTAAGCCACAACAGAAAATAACAAACTTACAATGCCGCTTCTTACAAATAATATTATTTTTATATTTGTTTTTCGCTCTCCTCTCAAATTCATGTTCAAAATAGCTGGACCGTAAAGAAACGCGACTGTTCTAACAACCATTGTTTAGCCATTTCCTCAGCTCGTATTTCTTTCTATGCCGATGTAAGAATAGTTATTTTTACTAATAATACACACACTATCAGCTGTTTACACGAATAATGCCAGAAAATGTGTATTTGAAGACAGCCAATTCTTCTTGAACTAGTCCGTCTGAATTCATATGTTTCTTATAATATTAGAATAATATGAACGTATTTAAACTAACCTACTATTCATATCAAATAACTCTCAAGTAATGATTTTAATTCACGTATAAAGAGTTTTGAAAAACGGTTGTTATGATATTATGTGTATTTTGGCGTTAAGCCAATTGTTCCATTTCTTACTACTATGTAGACGGGAGAATGATAGCCGTTCACGGTTCGTATATATCCAGCCGACTTAGCTTTGATACCTAGAAAATGAGGTTGTGTCAAATGTTCCATGATGAAATTTTACTTGCGTGAACGCATACAGCAAACACGAATCATGTGTAATGCTTGTAATTAAACTGGTAATGAGTTTTTATGCTCAGATTGTGGAAAAACGTGGGAGCGTCTTTAATATTTCTAACTGGTTTTAAATTAATTAGTTCATAGTAAAGAAATATTTTTAATTTTCAGTTCAACTTTGTGGGAAGGATTCTAGGACCCAGAGGTATGACAGCAAAGCAGTTGGAACAAGAAACTGGATGCAAAATCATGGTTAGAGGCAAGGGCTCAATGAGAGACAAGAAAAAGGTAAATATATAATATTTTACAGTCATTATGAATGAAGTTAATATTTCAAAATATTTGTATTTATATTTCATGCAGCATCAGTTGGAGCCGCAGTGACGTTTCTTTAATTGTTATATTATTCTGAGTAAAACGATTATTATTTAATTTGAATCATGCGTCACTCTATTCCATGAAGTTCTTAATGAGAACCTTAAAAGGATATAACGTATTTCTATCGAACTCGACATCCTTTTCGTTTCTCTTAATTATATAATTTAGTCATCTTTCCATTTTAGAATTTTCATCTATTTATATAATTACTTTCTAAGTTCACTAGACATTCTTGGCAACGATTTTCCTTTTTCTGGCTCAATAATTTGTACATATAAATTGGGATAAGCTGTGTCCTAAGCATAACGTGTCCAATGATTTATTTGTTGGGCATATTCCAGGAGGATGCGAATAGAGGCAAGCCAAATTGGGAGCATCTGGCTGACGACTTACACGTACTTCTTACAGTAGAAGATACGGAGAACAGAGCAAAAATCAAGCTGGCTAGAGCCGTAGAAGAAGTTAAACGTTTACTCGTGCCCGTAAGTGTATTTTTGGATATGATTTCTTGGTATTCATCAGATACAAAAGTAGTGGCTTATCTTCAGATGTTGTGGTGATTATCTGTGAAAATCTATGAATTTTACCTCTTTTAATACACATTTTCATACATACATACATCTTAGAAGATAAAATTATCTTTTTGTCTCTAGTATAACTATGAGTATATCTTTTCAGCAAGCGGACGGCGAGGATGAACTGAAGAAACGTCAGTTGATGGAACTGGCCATTATTAATGGCACATATCGCGACTCTAGCACGAAAGCTGTCGTGCCCGTCAACGGTCAGTGCCTAATAAGTATGGTCGCATTCATGTTTTGTCACTAATATACATTAAGAGTGTTACTTTAAGTATTTTTAAATAATGATATCTTAAATTTTCGCCTGAATTCATCATTTAAATAAAACTCGGATTTTCGGATATTGCTACTACTTTCTACTATTTTACAACTACATTATCACTACATTTCGGTCCCTTTGCAGCAACCGCGATCAGAGGCAGACGAGATGAAATTACTCAAATTTCATCTCGTTCGCCCGTGATCAAGGTTGCTGTAAAAGAACCAAAACGTATATATTTGTAAAATATTAAAAAAATCAGTAGTAATATCCAAAAACTCGAGTTTTATTTTAATTTCTTTGATAATATTTTTTGGATAAGTGTTTTTTTTTCAATTGCATATTTATAAAATTTAGGAAACTTCAAAAAAATTAACACCGTTTTGAGCAATGTAAATATATTGATCATCGTTTAGCATAATGTTTGCCATATTTTTCTCTATGTAAGTTTATCTTATAAATTTATATTTTTATGTTTGTCCAACTGTCATTGCCTTCAAAGCTCCAACAATTAGCATATAGATGATTTGAAATCATGATACGTGTCAAGGGCTGCATAAAATTGTATTTTATTATTTGTAATTATTCATGAAAATACTAACAAAAGGGATGATTCTTGAAGTTTATGGATATATTGTTACGAGTCGATTTATTAATAGTACATCACATTGTGTTAAGTTTTTTGTACCAACGTGAGTAATACGATCACATTAAGGTGACTAACTTAATTGATTTGTGGCATGTTACGGTTATTAATTACTAATATGGGTGATTTCATTTACCAATACGATAAATCCATTTGCTGATTTTACTGAATGTTTTTAAGTCTAAATATATTTCAAGCATATGTTTTGGTTACTTTACATTAGCATTTACCGATCTTCACATTTAATACTGTTAAAATTAATGTTGCCTTAAAATTGTTATCCTTATAAAATTATAATAACCGGAATTCACAGCTGATGAAGAATGGCGACGTGTGGCTGCTGAGACTCAACGGCTGCTGGCACCTGGCGGCGGAGTTGGTGGCGTCGGGAGCGTGGCTTTGCGCACTCCTGCACCCTTGGGAGCACCGCTGATTTTATCACCTCGTATGTCCCAGGGACCTCAAGGTCTCTTGAACGGTACAGGCGCTGGTGCTGCAGCTGGTCTACTATCACCGGGAGAGCCAGCTCATCAGCTGATTTACGCATCACCATACGCTGAGTATGCTAACTACGCAGCGCTGACCAATCCTTTGCTGACTGCAGAGTACGCAGCCGCCGACCATACGGGTGGGTTGTTCGCCCGTTGATCTCTATACATTTGGTAACATCATTTTAATTAAATAATATACATATATTTAAAGATCTATCAATTGATCTATACATATATATTATTATTACGTTGACGATAAATATTGCATTCAGATGTTACCAAATGTTTATAATACTAACTAAAAGGTATCGGGTTACAAAAATCCACTAGACTCATGTAGTCAATATAGTTTAGGTAGGAACATGTTATAGGAATTTGGTAATACATAAGACGCATTAGGTGTTTTTAAAGTATTAACAGAACGCTTTTAACCAAATTTTTATCCACGAGTTATCCCTTTAACATTTTAATAATTTTCAGCATGCCCCTTTATTTATACGGTTTTATTTGAAGCTTAAATCGTTCTTCGCTAACCATCGCTTTGTTATGAATTCATTAGAGGGACAAAAATAAATTCATTCACTTAAATATTATAGTCAGTCGCAAGCCAACTTCGGAAATCAATACACTAACAGACTAATACAAAGATAACGCCTTATTTAAAATTTTCTTAAATTTTTTAATGGGGTTGCAGCGTCGAGATATCTACTCGCTGGCTTTTGACATTGGCCACAATTGCAGACCACAATAAGATACGACAGGCTTCCAACTTCATCGTTTCGACCATCGCACCATTATTAGGATCTATGTACACATTGCCATATGATTTGCCTTGCCACAGACTATACATATTGCCACAAATTGTCCATTTGCCACTTTGTATCAAACAGATTCTGTCCAAAATACGTTATTAGTCTGTGCAAAGGTTTTTCTCATTTGGGTGTTTGTCTTTTGCCGTCCCTGACCACTTAAAGGGCCTTCTAAATTCATAAGAGCGATTTAATCTAGCATAAGATTTATGTTAAGGACGATCTAGTATAGTGACACGAACATATTGTACCTACGTTATGTTGTTAATATTAAATCATCATTGTTTTCTTTTAACCGTTTTGTACAGTGATACAAAGTATATTTTGTTTCTAAACGAACAAATATTATTTATTATATAGCACATTTTATATACACAAAGTAATATAATAACGATTTTATTGCATATATTCTACCGTTGTCATTTTGTTATGTTGAATGGCAGTAATATGAATAGAAAATAATTTAGTTTTATGTTTTCAAAACTGCCAATAGAACACTTTAAGTTACCGATGTTTCATATACAAAGACAAAGATTTCTATATTATATTATATTTATATGTATTTATTTTAATCGGTGATTCCACGGAACATATTATCATATTTAGCACAACTAGATTTTTTTGTAATAACCTTCGCTTGTAATACAACTAATATAATAACATTTGGTGTCCACAACACATTTAGAACGTGATTTTCGTACTAATTAATTACAGCATGAATTTGATTCATTATATCGATTTCCCGATTGTGATTAACAAGAATTTTAATTAACAGAAATCTCTGAATGATATAATAATAACAATAAAATTCAGTGATTACAAGCATAAGGGACCAAATACTATTGAAATTTATTGATTTACCAGAACGTAATCTGTATTAACACTGACTACTAAGATTCATTATAATTTATGATAAATATCGAACAATATAACAAAATCTTCCACTCAATAACGTAACATTTTATGATAGCGGATACGAATGTTATATTATTGTTATAATATCTCGTAATTTATTAATTTATTAGCCATATTATTATATTTATAAACATACCATAGGTTTAAGTATTTTTTTTTTATCTTTTAAAGATTTTAGCTTAGAAAAGAGTGAGCTTTATGCAATATATAAAATCACTTAAGTATATTTTATACTTAGTCAAATGATTTATTCGCAGTAAAAGTTTAGAATTCAAGTCAAAACGTAACATTTTATATAGAATTTATGATTACTAAGCCAGTTTTTAGCATACCTACCTCTAGCAGGTATCGCCGATGAGATTTATTTTTTTTATTTTTCCAAAGCAATAAAATAATAGTTAAAGTTTAGTAGTCTAAAATAAGCATAATATAATATAATTTAGTGATGCTGCCAAAAGTAAAGCTTCGTTATGAATAGTATTGCAAAAATTATGTAAAACACATTGGCAGTTATTGCTGATTTAACAATAGATATTTAGTTTAGTAACTGTCGTAAAGCTAATAAGATAAAAATTCTTTTCAGCATTTAATTGTTTTGGCTTCCCAGGCGATGTCAACGAAACTTAAAAAATAAAATCCATTCCAAAATTAAATTCAAAGCAATTTGTGTTCAACAATCTAATTTGTTTGAAATATAAGGTATCTGCGGAAAGAATGTCAGAAATACCGTGTTTTTCTGCCAGAAATATGGATATCAATGCCTGGAAGTCTTGTTATGTGGGTTAACATTGGGAATATATTAGACACAGATGATATAAATCATGTGCCGCTAGGTCTCGTGCGGAGGGCGGGTCGGCTGACGCAAGTGAGGGAGCACCCTTACCAGCGCACTGCCTTACCGGCGCCTTAATTCCCGCCAAAACGCTCTCACGCCGCCATTTTGTTCAAGGTGAGAAGCGCGTGGCACCTTGTGGTAAATACGCTTGACATTTACTCCGTAACAATTTATATGAATCTCGTTTTTTTAAATGTCCAGCATATTTGTCACGAGCTTTACTGCCTCTGCTTACCGTCTCTCTGTGTCCTTATTTATTGTGTACTTATTAGTTTGTACGAGGATATGCCACTTTCTATTGGATCTGAAGTGACACTGCATAATTTGTAACTGTGATTTTTATATTTTCTTCTTTTATAGATTTTAAACATGTTGTGATGCGAGGCGTTGTAACATTGTTTTAGCGGTTGTATTTTCGAATTGCACAGCGTTACCAAATTACTCATTTTGTTTTTATGTCGCTGTTGTAATCACAACATGTGCTTTCTAAGAGTCACGAATGCATTATCTATGCAAATAATGTTCTGGCGGGTATTGTTTAGAATTATGTATATGCAAGGTAAGAAGGATTAAAGGGATCGTCATGGACCTACTTATAAATCATTTTGTAACTTGTTCAACGTAACCAAAAATTCTGACCGGTGCTATACTTCGGTTGTGAAATCCTTCTTTCCTAAAGTTCGCCCAGTATTAGTCAAAGGGAAGAGCATTTTCAGAATTAGTGCCATCGCTCCAGTATTAAATAAAAATGCCCCATCCTTTGACTTAACGTTTATATATTCATCACAAGATTCTTAGTCAATATAAGATTTTTATATGAAATTTTTAAGCTAGTTGATTCTATATTTTGCCTTAGGTATTATTTTATTTACTTTCTTATTTGAAAGTTTCTTATGAGTAAGATTTTTTGCACTTGTGTCCTTGTGGATTTATGTGGCATCCAAGCCACTTACGTATTTTCACGCTTTACATAAAATGGATTTTCAATCTGAATACTATTCTTAATTTTTACGAAGAGATTTATATAATTATGTAAAATAATATTTCGATTGTTGATTGTAAATATTAAATGCATTTTCAGAAGATATACATGCAATAAATTGTCTAAAATTTTCAGCAGGCGTTTTTTATTTATTAGCTGATATAGTTTCGCGTTTGTTTTTTTTTTATTTACAATACATGTGAACACAATGAGTCAATAAAGTTGATGACGTGAAGTATTTTGGTCAATTGTAGCCTCACACGACTAACATGCAACTCCACAAGGCCAAGTTCCCGTTGACATAATAATTACAAAGTGCACCGTCATAACTGCTACTGTCACAATGCAGATATTTGTAACTATGTATTTATATTATATGAGTCACTAACATGCAAATATGTAATGACATTATTGATACGTATCACAGAATTAACATATATTTTTTTCTTAATCGAATGCTATCATATACAATTATTGAATTACGATGATGTGTTAAATAACTTACATACTTGCATCGGGTGCTATGGTTATATAAGTGATAAATTTATTACCTATGCTTGTCTGTTGTGGCGATGTTTGATGCATAGGTATCTTGATGTATCAGGCACCGCCTTTGGGAACTATTGGGCATTTAATCCTATATTGTAGATTATCATTATCATACTAAATTATTTTAACATTTTCAGAACCATTAACTAAGTAAACTAATTTAAATATACGTTGTATAATTATTAACAGGACCATAGCATAATGTCGCGGCACGAATGCCTGATAGCCTCCCTTTATATTATCAGAATTTTATATTTGAATCCGTACACAATAGATCGATCCGAGATCCAGTTTGATCGCTTTTTAGCTGCATGACGCCGGTTTCCGTACTTTTTGAGATCATAAGCCGTTTTCCAAACAAACAGATTTTGTTATATAAATATGGAGTCTGACGTTTAGCGCGAGCAGCGTAAAAGCGTTGAAGCGTTCGACCTCGCGATTGAGGCTACGTGTACTCGGACCATGACATTTTGATACTAACATTCTGTTTTTTCTCTCTTCTCGTTAACCCGGCTAGGTGAGTGAGGAGTTAACGGAGAAGCGGTCGGCTCCCGCAATGGACACTATGTCGCCGTAACATTATCATCGGAACATCGACCACCATGTAGCTATAGCTGTTGGGCCTTTCAAGTTAACATGTACTATGTATTTTAATAGTCTAACTATTAACATTATATGCCTGTTATGTTTATAACAAGATGATCTTTATTAACAATTTATTATATTTTGAAGTGGCACACGCCATCGACTATATTTACTGTATTGTAACATTGTACTTCTGTTGTCGCTTGACCGTTGTTGTTAGAGCACGAATGTTGTTAGGTTACCCTACCTACCGCGGCGCTAAATTTATTTAAGCTATCTTTAGAGTTTACTTATTTATTAGATTTAGATATATATATATAAATATTCACAAAATATTGTAAATGTTAATTTTGTTAAGCATAAAATTTGGCGCCGTTAAAATATGAAATGTTTTGGAACTTTTTCTATTTTCGAAATTTTATATTTCCATTTAGTTGAAGCAATATATTACATCTCTTCTATCTGGATGCATGATTAATTATTGCGCAGATGTTTGAAATACTTTTTCACATATGAACTTTTACAGTTTTATAAATGTTTTATAAGTATAGTACAAATTACATAAATATTGGAATTTTGGAGATGAGAAGAACCGTCGTTTCTCCAGATAGCAAAAAGAGGCAGGATAGCGGTAACTGATTAAATGTAAGTATCAAAGCTAATATTTTATCAAAAAATATATAGAGCAATATTTAAATTGGACTGATATCGAATCGATAGTCTAATAATTTTTTCGTATATTCATCGACCGCTTTCATGTTTTGGCAATATATTACAATCTTAAACCAAAGAGTTAATATATGTTTGTCATTGTTTTTATTTGAGAATTTTACATATAATGAATTCAAAATGTCTTCCGTTGTAGATTTATATCGTCGATGGGTGTACGAAACTATTTTTGTGTTTAGTTATATTAATAGCATTATATTTTATATTCTGTAGTGCTTAATATTTGTGTATAACAAATGAAATATTGCGCATCCCAAGTGCCTTATATTGTACAATGTTTTCACTTTTGTGGTTCTATGATATATGTTATATTGATTATTTAAACATAGAGTAAAAATAAGAAGAGATTAAATTATTGTTAACTTCGCTTAATATTAACTATAACTATGTAATATCAATCAAGTAGTTAATCATATTTTTGTAAGCACATAGTTTATCTAGATTTTAAAGCATTTTCTTATTTCTTTTTCTCATACAAGAATCTCTTGTATAAACAATCTCTAACTATTAAATATTTTTAGATTAAAGAACGCACATATTTTGAAATCTCAGTATAAACTCGAAATTTATTAAACAAATGTAAACTGAGCAAATGTTTCATGTAGTTAATTGTTATGTACATAATAGTGTTATCAAAGGCAATAATATTTTGAAAATAATTTACTATGTTAACGTTAGTGCAATAGATGTTATAACAAATTTAAATTTTATAATAGATTCTGATAATTTTGTGCGAATGTTAAAAAAATAATTTAACAGATCTGATATTGAGATTAACGAAAGATAAATATATAAATAGAAAAAATATAATGTTGCTCTGGAATTATAATCATTAAATTTTATTTAGATATAAGCATTAATATTTTCACTTCTTATTGTTTATCTGAACAAAATATTTTGGCATTTTGATATCTCGAATTTTTACAAGTGGTAGATTTTAATTCACAACAATCATTAAAGTTACAAACACTCCGTCCATGATTACTTCATTATTTAAGTACTTAATACGAATATAACTTGATGTTAAAATGCTTACCTTTACATTGAAACATACACCTATGTCAATTAACCAAGAAAAACATACAATTTCATCACAAATATCTTTTCTAATATTTTATATGAGAATTTTCTTCTGGATTCTGTGTTTCATCTTGTATTTCGTTATGCTTATATAGATTTATTTTTCACTTATTTTATATTGCATAATTTAATTTTCATGTTTTTCTCATATGTTTGATCTGGTTTCGTTAACGATATTCTAATCAGCGTCGAATATTAAAACAGATTTAAAAATATTTTATTATAATAAATAGATGATATTTAAAATATCTTATAATTTACTTTTAAAGTAAATTTATTTACTTTTTAACATTTTGCTACTATACTGTGTTTGGTACAAAAAATAATATACAAAGCATTTGCGACAGATGCCATAAGCTTTGTTACACGATCTTAGTAGAATATCTATGCAATATTGTGATTAAAGCGATTAACGTACAAAGATTTTTAAATGTCTGTTTATAGTAGTTAAAATGTTTCATACACGCGTCTGAGACATAACTTTGTGCCATCACCAACGGACTTGTGTTATTTTTTATTTGTACTTATTTAACCTACAATGGCGTATCACTAGTGCCTTACTGTAAATATTTATATGCTATTAAATCAAGTATTATAGAGGAGAAAGGATTCTAACAGTTGTTTTCCAAAATCAAATATAGTATACTTTTATATCTTAGTTAAGTGAGATTGTGCATATTACTTATGTCTGTTTTGATGTGTGTTTAAGATTGATTTTGGCATTAGTAAATATATTATTTCAAAAATGTAAAACCTGTCTTTCTATTTAGCATTTGACCCAATTCAGTTATCATATTGGTTTTAAATTTTAACACACGAGATATTTTTTTACCAGATAGTATCTATTTCAAAAATGTGAACAGAATTAAATATATGAAAGAATTACTTGTTTGAAATTTAAAAATAGACGATCAATTCAAATATTCCTGTAAGATATAATAATTATATGTAATACAATTCCTTGAACGTTAGATTCATTAATCAATGATGTACTTAAGAGACTCGCTTGAATTGTGCTTGTATTTAAAGTAAATTATTTTTATAAAGATAAACAGACACGCTACCAGTGAGAAGAATGGGAAGTTCTTTTTGTTCCATGGCTTCAACAGATGGAGTTATAGTTCTAGGAAAATAATAATGAGTGCTGGAT